CCCGAAAAAATCCTGCAAAACCCTTCAACAAAACCCTATGATTAAAAAGACGAGAAAAAAACGAAAGGCAGGCAGGAAGGAAGGAAGGCGGAAGCAGGAAGGAAGGAAGGAAGGAAGGAAGAAGGGAAGGAAGGAAGAACGGCACGCGAGAGCACTCGCTGCCTTGCAACCCCCCCCCCCAAGAAAAAACAATCCGAAAAACCGCCAATCCCTAAACCCTAATGCCCAAACCCAAAACCCCAAACCCCACACCCTAAACCCTAAACCACAAACCCTAAAAACACCCTCGAAGCCCCCCCCTAAACCCTAAACCCTAAACCCCCTAAACCCCTAAACCCCCTAACCCCCCTAAACCCCTAAACCCCCTAATCCCCCTAAACCCCCGAAATCCCCCTAAACCCCTAAAACCTCCTAAACCCCCTAAACCCCCCTGAAACCCTCCTGAAACCCCCTGAAACCCCCTGAAACCCCCCGAAACCCCCCTAAACCCCCCTACCTCGCAGACGGCGTCCGTGGTGGCCCCGACCGCGGTGGTGAAGCGGCCGGCTTCGCAGCCGCGACAGAGCCCCGCACCCGTGTCGCCCATCCTCGGGGGGAGGGGGGGGTTTAGGGTTTAGGGTTTAGGGTTTAGGGTTTAGGGTTTAGGGTTTAGGGTTTAGGGTTTAGGGTTTAGGGTTTAGGGTTTAGGGTTTAGGGTTTAGATTTAGGGCTTAGGGCTTAGGGCTTCGGGTTTAGGGCTCAGGGTTTAGGATTTAGGGCTTGGTTTTTCGAGAGTTAGAGTCTAGGGCTTGGGAATTCGGGCTTCGGGGAGTTGGGAGTTTAGGGAGGGGGGGGGCTTGACAGGTGGTTAGGGCTTCGCAGCCTATGTGAAGGATCATGGGTTTGGGTTTAGGGTGTAGGCTTTAGGGTTTAGGGTTTAGGGTTGTAGGTGGGCAAGTAGTTTAGGGGCTTGATGGCGTTTTGTTCAGGGCTTCGGGGCCGATGGTCTGTCTTTTGTTCGTTTTGAGCCAAGATCCCTTCCTGGATGTGAGGCAGTTAGGGGTTTAGGGTTTAGGGTGCAGGGGTTTAGGGTTTAGGGTTTAGGGTTTAGGGTTTAGGGTTTAGGGTTCAGGGTTTAGGGTTTAGGGTTTAGGGTTTAGGGTGTAGGGTTTAGGGTTTAGGGTTTCGGGCCTCTATGACCCTGAACTCGAGAGACCCTCCCCATCCCGACCCTCAACCAGAACCAGTACAGCCCGGCATCCTACTGGTCAAACACCCTAAGCATCCTAAACTCCTAACCCCAACCCGCAAAGGAACCCTAGACCCTAAACCCTAAACCCGACCCTAAACCCTAAACCCCACCCAAAACCCTAAACCCTAAACCCTAAACCTTACCTTCCCAACCCCCCCCCCCCCCCAAACAAGAAGAACCAACCAGCTTGCGAGCCGAGCACCATCGGCCGGGCGGGCAGAGCGTGCAGCTACTCACCTGAACAAGTCTCGACATCATGATCCGCTTTAGGGCTTTTAGGGTCTCAGGGTTTGGGTTTAGGGTTTGGGGTTTAGGGCTTCAGGGTAAGGTTAGGGCTTCAGGGTAAGGTCTAGGGCTTGGGGTTTCGGAGGGGGGTTTAGAGCTTTCGTATACACGTTTCTCCCACATACGATTGCTTTTGCATAAAACAACCCTGTTTCCGGCCACAACCCTGCATTCAACCGCAAACCCTGAAGCCCCCAAGCACAAACCCTTCAACCCTAAACCCTTCAACCCCTGAACCCCTAAACCCTTCAAACCCTAAACCCTTCAAACCCCTAAACCCCTAAACCCTTAGACCCCTATACCCCTAACCCCTAAACTCACCCCTCAAACCCTAAACCCGAAACCCCTAAACCCGAAATCCTAAATCCCAAAATCCCAAAACCCCAAAACCCCTAAACCCCAAAACCCCTAAACCCCAAAACCCCAAAACCCCAAAACCCAAAAACCCCAAAACCCCAAGACCCTTCAGACCCTAAACCCCTGAACCCCTAGACCCCTAAACCCTAAACCCTAAACCCTAAACCCTAAACCCCTAAACCCCTAAAGCCGGCCAGTCGCGCTCTCCGCTGCCGGGCTGGCGCTGAAGCGCCCAATGTCACACAGCTGGCAGACGTCATCCGCCGTCGCGCCTTGCGAAGACTTCAGCATGCTTGAAAGTCGGGGTTTAGGGTTTAGGGTTTAGGGTTTAGGGTTTAGGGTTTAGGGTTTAGGGTTTAGGGTTTAGGGTTTAGGGTTTAGGGTGTTTCGGATTCAGGTTAGACTTTGACGGGTCCAATCCGCATGCAACAGACCTGTCATGTGACAACTTCTTACCTGGTAGTCTTTGTGCCTCTCGGCACGCCTCTACCCATACGAAAGCTTGCGTGCACATATCTTATGAGGAATTAAATTTAACATGACACATTTTGTGTATTTATGTATTTATTTACATTATATTGTACAATATTACTGTATATTACAGTATAGTCTACGATATTATACTTT